TTCTCTTCGTCCGACCGTCACTACTTCCGCCAAGTCGACACGCGAAGGCAAGAGAGCACTCCAAACTCGAAAGACGACAATACGCAGGAAAATCCAATAACACCAAAGGAGGCAATAAGAGATACACGCTTAGCCCTCTCACAAGTCATTGTCCAATTTCGCCAAAGAATCACAAGTGGTGGTTTGCTGCTAACAAGCTTAAGTCATGACCAAGCCAAGAGTGGCTTTAGGATACGGTTGGCCAAAGCTTATCCATAGCAACACCACGGGCTCATGATCTTTCGATCTCCGTGGTCATTGAATCGACGGGATTAGAAGTCATCTCAAGAACGACTTGGCCTCGCTTTGTAAACCTTATCCCGCAAGTCACAATTTGACATGAGTAGCAAACAAGAACGACACATTATTCATTAACTTGGTTCCAACATACTTTGGCTCGCTTCCGCTTCATGGTAAGAAAGCGGGTAGCGCAAAGAGATTGGATCAACGGTTGCCCTCGATCCACACCTATTACAACAGCGCCTGGAGCCAAGAAGAAAGTCGCTTCAACACGGCAAAAGATGCGGGGTGGGCTAGGCACATCCATGTCGCGTTTCGCTATTACATCTTTGGGAAAGATGGTTTTAGATGGTCGATCGGGTCGACACGCCACGGGTCCAAGGTATGGCACTGGGCTATGGCTTTGCTAACAAAAGGAATAGTGGTCGGATTCCTTGATCCAATCGCCTTGGGCAAAGACGGAAATCAATGAGCCGGCTAACGGTGCAACAAGAGCAAGAACAACAAGGGACAAGGTCTACTTCTTCCAACTCCGCGCCACGACCGAAAGAGCGGGCATTGGAAAGAAGCGACAAACACCAAGTCATGAACCACTGGTAGGGTGCAATTCGGATTAGGTGCACTGGTACTAGGACATCTCTAATTCGATAGCTGGCAGTGCGGTTGTCACCGCAGGAATCAAAGAAAAATGCGATGGTCATGCAAGGTACACAAGCCTACGGGGTTTGAGCGGAAGAAAGGCAAGTAAAAGCAAAGAGTGGGCGTAGCTTCATGGTCATAAGGCGAACTACGTGGCCAAGCTTATCCTACATATCGGTGTTGGCATCCATCTCCTACAATCATCATATCCCCACTCGCCCACTCGCAAGTTAGGCCACAAAAGGGCTCATTGTGTAACGGGTGATATCTGCATCAATGTTCGGTCCACAATGGCCAGGTCCTAGGGCAATTAGATTACTAATAATTGTAGCACGTCGAGACAACTAAAAGCAAGGGAGCGAGTTATGCTCGCCATTACTACAATACGGCAAGTGAACTCCATGACCTAAATGGTCGAACGAGGTATTTATCCTCTAATTCCGGCTTTTTGAAGGCACGGTCCTTAGGCAACAAACATAACATAAGAACAAGAATTCCGACAACCCAACATAAGAGCCAAGACACGTCCTCATGAAATGGAGTAGCACATATCCATAGCGTAGGGAATGGGTAGACTCGCTCAAAGGCACAGTGCAAGCAGAGATATAGATAGATCAAGATCACGTGTTGTAGGTGTACTTAACGAGTATAAGAAATGGAGGTAAGACGGGGCTTTTCGTTGGTGCTCTTGAATGGCTGCTCAACTAGGATTGACTTCCTTGGCAGAAGATGTGGAGGCCCAAGGGTTGTTATAACTTGTCCCGTGAGGGCTATGGCTTCTCCTACTAGGCCATTGCCAGACACGGCCCACCTCAGGGCTAGCGGGCTTGTCACTGCAACTCAACCGTGGGTTGGCTTAAGGCTAGTCGGCAACAAGGTTATAGGGCTGAGGCCAAAAATTTGCCGTTGCCTGGTCGGGCATGGCAAGTGGCCGAGGGTGGGTCGTCACCAGAGGACACACATGTGAGGTGGTCGGAGAGGTTGCAGAGGTGGTCGGAGATCGCTCAAGCGGTCGGAGAGATCACCGTCGTGGTCTGGAAGGTGGCCGAGGTGGCTCTGAGAGATCGCGGAGATGGTTGGGTGGTCACGACGTGGTCGGAGAGATCACCATCGTGGCCTGGAGGCCGGGCCGAGGTGGTCGGAGAGAGGTCGCGGAGATGGTCGGAGTGGTCGCACGTGGGTCGGAGAG